AGAAGAAAGAAAGAAAGAAAGAAAGAAAGAAAGAAAGAAAGAAAAAGAAAGAAAGAAGAAAGAATGGATGGATGGATGAGAAAGAATGGGGGGCGTCCTTCTCGGTCGGGAAAAATTATTCGAATCGAGAGGCAGAGGAAAGGAGTTACAAGAACGAGGAGAAGGAGGAGAAGGAGGAGGAGGAGGAGGAGGAGGCAGAAGGAGGGAGAGAGATAATGGGAGGGAGACGCGTACGTATAGTCACTGCGCGCCTTTTTTTATCGGGTTGAGTTATCTGCGACCGTTGGAGGAATTTATGATAGCGCATGACCGATCCAGTGATAGCGCTTATTGTGGCGATGCTAATTCGAACGCGTTTTAAACCACGGTGAAAAATTTAAAACCGTCCTACTCGATGCTTTTTCGAACTCGATTAAGTTGAAGTTATTGGAAATTGCGGATTAATTTTACTTCTTTTTTCTTTTTTTTTTTTTATTCTTTTTTACATGCAAGATAGATGTATTCCCAAGTACTTATTACGACGAGAAGATTACGCCATTCTTCAAACGGCGCGGACAACAGTTCGGTCGCGATCCCCTCGGGCTAAGAAAACAACGGCTCGTTCATTAGATTGCAAACGATATGCAATATCGGTAGCTTCAAAGCAGCACGCAACTATATTCCATATACAATCGTGAAATATAAGTAGATTATGCATTTAATCCGCGCCGACCCTTTTCTCTTATAATCCTTTTACGAGGTCGCCTTGGAACAACCCTTTTTTTTAAATAGTATTTTATTTTTAAATAATACCTGTAGAAAAAAAATTATCTCGTAATGCACAATTACGACAGATTACAACTCAATCGAAGGATGAAAGAATTAAATATTTTGTAAAAATAAATCCAAGAGTATGGTTATAATCTATTCAAGTATCAACAGGCGATTGCAAAAAATCTACACATCTCGACGTACAACTACGACAAATTACGATCAAACGAACAAGAAAATTTAACAAAGATAGGAAACGAAACCGACTTTTATTTAAAAGAAAAGAAAAGGAAAAAAAAAAAAAGAAAACACCCTCGATCTCTAAGTCAGAGTTCCTATACCAATAGACGAGACTAGCATCCGCCAGATAAATAACCGGCTATCTTTAGCCCGAATGCACGAATCGAACAGACGAGGGAAAGAGAGAATCTGCGGCGAACCGAGCGTCGATCCGATAAGTCGAACGGGGACGAGGATATGGCTAATCTTTCGGCGATCTTTCGCGAATCAGCCAAGTATCTGCGAGAGCGCGAGCGCGATCCTCGCTCTGCCCGGCTCTCGTTCGAGGTTATGCTGATAAAGCTTGGCTACATTATTCAGCAGATGAGAAAGGGAGGAGGAAAAACACGCGCGTATATACGCAATGGAGCTTCGGAAGTCATCGCGAGAATTCGATTTATTCGTGCTTTTACGATTTTTCGGTTTTGCCTTATTCCTCGTCTTTCGATCGTTCGTGGCGCGCCACGAACGGATTTTGCTTTCGAAATTTCTATCGTGCGAGCGGAATCGAAATAATTGACGATGGGGAATACGAGATGTAAAAAACTAGTGGACAGCAATTATCTTTTTCTCTTATCGAATCAGATATTTATCTCTTTTGCGATGTATTCAATAAATTTCAGATTCAATTCGTTCCATTTCCTTGAATACTTGATAATCTATGAACTATGTGTATATAAAAATACTTTCTTATTTCCACACAATATTTTAATAATCACGGATTTTCAGATTTTTTTCGTTCAATCGTAAATTGCCAATCAATGTGTGAAAATATTCAAAGGTTTCGCATCAATTCGTTTCAGATTATCGACAAATCCCGTATTTTCCTATTAAAGAAAAAAAAAAAAAAAATCCGGCAGGAAGTGCCGCGTCGCGAAAGCAAACCGCGGTCGATGCTCGTTGCACGATCATCCGAGACGAAACGATACATTAATTGAATAGTAACTCGACAACCAGCCCTCGAGGGAAAAAACGAGTTTCCATCGATAACCGAGTCATCGAGCCAACCACTCGCAGCCAATTACCAGTTAAATTGCCTTCCCCTCGATATCAATTTATTAACTTGCCCTTTCTTAACATCTAACCAACGACAGTACCGCGCAACATGTATTCCCTCCACGTGTCATCGTTCAAACAGCAAATAACAAATCCCACTATTTACTTCGAAACTTTCACAAAAGAGGTTATTAAGGTCCTTTAACCCTAAAAAAACGTTTTATTGAATGTTAAAATAGAAAAAAAAAACTTTGAATAATTACATACCTTTCATCTCATCGTCCAATTAATCCACATCATTATATCAAATAACCTCGCAGGTAAGCAGAACAAGAAGCGTCATCTTTATAGTCGATCTCTTTTAAACAAGCCCCCGCCGTTGCTAGAACAGTTCGAGTAGCGCGTGCGCCTTCAATCGCAAAAGCTGCGCGCGCAGCCTTCTTATTTTCCGCCCGTGTATTCAATTAACGCGCGCAACCGAATCGCGCGGTATCAAGCCCTCTAATTTTGCGACATTTATCTCACGTCGTTCTGGATTGATTTACGACCCTCAACGATCGAACCTACTAAAAATCGATCATGATATCAAAGCCGCCGCGTTTACACCGTCTCACCGAGACGAATTTTGCATAACGATATTATTTAGAGCGGCGTAGAGCGGCATAAATGAGATCGATAGGATCGGAGGATCGTCTTTCCACGGTCTTTCATTCCGTGTTTTCGCTCTCGATCGAACGAACGATGGCGCGTACCGGTGTCTAGATGTTATTTGGCCGCGTAAATGGCCGAGTTGCGCCACACCAAGGGCGCCCCGTTTCCTCGTTATTATTAATATTTCACAATTATCGCGAGATGCCGTTTCGCGATCGGCCGACACGATAAAAGCGTCCCGACTCTGAAACGCTGCCGGGAGGGATCGAGAATTCGAGGAGCGACGAAGAGAGGGATAGAGAAGGAGGAGGAGGAGGAGGAGGAGGAGGAGGTAGCGGTGGAGGAGGGTCGTGGAAGCGAGATGGAATCGGTTCACCCGAGATAGAGGTGGTAAACCGTAAGGAGAGACAGATACGAATGGAAAGAAAAGAATAAAAAATGGAATGAGGAGAGGGACGATAGTTGGTCGAGGGTAATGAAACATTGCGAGGATGGAGGGACGAAGGCATTAAGAGAGATACTCGTTAACGATAGCCGCGATATCGCATGAAAAATCGTGCAATCGTTAGCGGCGATCCCGCGATCTAAGACGAGCGGCCATGTCAGAACGTATTCGTCAGATGTGGAGAATTCTAACATGTCGAAACAACGAGGATTAATCGCGATGTGTGTGTACGTGCAACATTATCGGGTTTAATTGACTAGTCAGCGATTATTGAAGTATCGTTGGATTTATATCGTTTATATATAAGAACGCTGAAGTTACATAATTTCATATCTATTTTTGAATATAACGGAAGAAAAATTATATATATATTGAATGTTAATAAAATTTATATTAAAAATATTTGAAAATTCGTATGATCGAATTTTAATCTTACGGAAAATTAACAATTATTAAAAAGATATATAAAAATATTTGAGATAATTTTTGTTTCGTGGAAATAATTTTTTATCTTAAAACAATCTATAAATGAATTATGAATTATTAGGATTACGTTCGAAGAATTTGTTGAATTTTACAAAAAAAAAAAAAAAATAATAAATCT